TGGAAAATTTAAGGAGTTATTATTATGTACGTTTAGATGATACAACCGGTAGGATACTTTTGCACGTTACTGTATGCCTACATATGGGTAACTGGTCATCAGTTTGAAATTTAAATCGTTCTTTGCATTTTTAATACACATATTATTTATGGCACATTCAAGAATTTTTAGTATACCAGAAGTATTAGAACAGATTTTATATTTCTTATTGATAGATAAATCTCTCTATCCTGCTCTATATGTTTCCCGATTGTGGTACAGATGCGGTGCTCCTATTCTATGGAAACGAATTGAGCTAAATAAGAGTAATATACGAAAAAATTTTATGAAAATAGTATGTGGTGAACATAAGCCGGTTTATCGTTTGAATGTAACCCATCTGGAAATTCCACACTACCATTCACTTTCAGATAAAAAATTCCAAATAGAATTCATTTAAAAGTGCAGGATTCGGTGATAAAACGTTAAATCAAATAGCAGAATCATACCCCAATATGGAGTATCTTAACTTGGCAAAGGGGGCTTATGGTAGATTAATAACTGATAAAGGTCTATATGCAATTGCAAATTCATGCCATAAATTAAAATATCTGAATATTTCTAACTGTAAAAAATAGCGATTTGGAATGTTATTCATTCTTGCCTATTATTTCGTCTTCATTGAGAACATAACTAATTTGTTCGCGTACTGCTTCATATTAAATACCAATAAATGCACTTTACGCGGACTAAGATAATAAGTTCTACTTACCTGTTGATCGGAATGGGGAACGTGAACGTTTTGCGCTCAATCGTAACTATAATGAGCAGTTGCGTCAACATTACAATAATCAGCTTTACCTCTTGTTATAAAATGCTCGTCTACCAATTTTCTCTGTTGTTCTGCTAATTTCGTATTTTTGTTGTAATAATTTCTCTCTTATTTAGCTTTAACTAGGTGTTCTTTATAAATATTTTGCTTCTTCCTTACGAGCATTATTATTATACTGTAATCCGTTCCGAAAATGTTGGCACGTGTCGCATAAATCCGTTCGTGGACTTATAATCTGAATTAAGGCGTTAATTGGTGCCATAACTTGCGAAGTGCGTCATATTTTAACAATTTCAACGTGCTATCGTTTTCGAGACCTGCAATAAAATCACGATAGACCGATTTATAACTCGTTTCGGCTGGTAAAAGTGTAAGCGATTGAGTAATGCGGTTAACATTTCTACCCGGACTTGGTAATCCGTGAATTTCCACATAGTTTTCGACAAAATTCTTCACGGTTGTAGCAACAGTTATATCAATGGTCATTTTGGTTTTCCATTGCGGCACTTTTTTTACATTACCATGAACACGTGGTATCATGCCATTTGTCGCTAGATGATTTCTGACATTTTCGAAGTGGGTGCGACCAATTCCTAACATATCAAGATACGTTTTTTGACAAAGAGGCACATTGATATTGCAATCTCAATAATAAAAAGTTCTCTTATTAGTACCGCGTTTTATTTTTAAGACGTCGACTAGCGGCTATTTCTCCACTATTCATTGCTTTCAGTTGAGCTATTAAAAAAATGTCTTGCTCAGACCTAGAAAGAGCTTGAAACGCCTCACGTAATTCACAATTGCAACCTATATCCAAGAAACGCATTGCTTTTTCATATTCGATGGAACTATTGTAATTATTATTATTCATATACAGGTAATCCTATATATAATTTTAGTGCTTTGGTATCACGTGAGTCTTTAGTTTCAACCATCATAAAAAGAGTTTTATTGCATGCACAATGTGTTGTTATTGACACCTCATGAAATAAAGCAGCCATTACACTGTGTGTGCCTTCTAAACTGACCTGTTCTCAGTCTTAAGGTTCACATTTGTAGGCCTAAAAATACATGTACAAGAAAATGCCAAAAAAATATCAGTAGTTACAATCAGAAATTAAAAAATATATAAATCAAAATGCCCACAAGCACTAGCTGCCCAGGCTTGACTAATGTAGGAGTCTGTTCAAAATAGCTTAGAAGACATTGAGAACTTCTTCAGATGTCATCACATCAAACACATCTTGCATCTGTGCAACATCACCCTCAGGCAGCAGTTGCATAAGGTCAACCTTAGTATTAGGCTTTTTCATAATTGTTCTAGTCTCTAAGGCTCCCTTTTTGTTCTCCATGAAACTGTATTACCCACCATTACCTCCAGCAGATTGCATCACATATTATGTGCAGTCTCCACTTCCCCAGTAGCAATTTGAGAAGCTTCTCTCACAATCTGTTCAATAACAGTCTTTGCCTGTTTAAGAGAAAATATGCAGGTTATGACCTTGCTCTGTTGTAGCCAGAAAAACTGCCAGTGCTTCCCCAAGTCAGTGAGGATGATTGCCACTGGGTACTGCAAGTAAATTGCTGACATGAGTTCAAGCACAGCCTGTCTCACATGATGATCTTTAACCCATACATTTCCCATACAGATATGGTGCATATCATCTAAAGACCAAACAGTCTGAAATTTTGTTCTGCAGATCATTAACAATCACATGACATTCACCCAATAAAATTCTCTGAAATCACAATAAGGATTTGTGGTTTTCATTGATCAGATTAATATTTTATTTTGAAAAATTACATTACTTGTCCAAATGCTTCAAATTTCAAATAAAGTACAATTCGACTTTAATATTAATGTTGCAGATTGAACAGCATATGCTTATTTATATACTGTGCACTTACATTTCTTTGAATTTCTGGTTTAGAAAGTTGATTGAATTAATTTGTTCATAATTCATCCCATGCATCTTCAGGGATTCTTCTGTGCAATTTATATTTTTTAGCAGCATATTCTGCTAACTTTCCTGTAATTCCATGTCTGTACAAATCCATATATCACCACATTTTTCGCACAAATCTATGAATTGTTATTAAATCAACAGAATCAAGAGCATGAGGGACTGTTTCTTGCAATCTGCTCCATGTATAACTACAGTTGTTTCTTGCATATCATTTGGCTGCTCCCCAATAATGTTCAATAAAATAAATCATCACCCAACCCTGTCTCTACTATCTCCAATGTGCTTGCTTCTGTATTGATAAAATCAAGTTCACCTCTAATACATCTGCCTCTCCCATCTTGAGACACTTTTTGGTGTGCAGCTTTTCTTTTAGGTGGTCAAGGCATAGTGAAACAATAGAGAATGCTCATGCATTTATTGGATACCAGATTGTTACACACAAAAGTTACACAAATGGTGTGTTCTATTTTTCTTAAGGAAACATAAGAAAACTGTTAAAACTCAAAACTTTTCTAGTTGACTAAAAAATCTAAACCATAACTTTTGTTCTGCATCATCTGTTCTATCATTCTTACAGATTAGTTTTTCTCCATATCCTCTAATAAAAAAGCCTTAGGGGTTTGAAAGTTGGATAATTTATTTCAAGCTTTAGATGATATGCACCATAGAAGCCAAATCTCATTCTCTGTCAGATATTGGTTGCTGTCATTTGGTAGCAATGGATGAAGATGAAAATAATATGATATCATTTCCAAAATTGTTTCGCAAAGTTCCCTTGGACAAAAGCATACATCACAATTCTGACTTGAACGAATGCCTGTACTTTGATCTCTTGGAAAAGGATGAAAGTTTGCATTGATAAAATTTACTTCCTGGTTAGCATATTTGGCATCATAAATATTTGTGTTGACTGAGCTGTCAGCAAGTCTTTTTTTTTTACAGCTCTTTGTAAATGCCAATAACACAGCTGAACTTTTGTTGTAGGCCAAGTTTGTTGTGTGGCATTAATTTGTGCCCAATCCTTATCCATCAGGAAAAACTCTGGATTTTAGATTTCACAAACCATTCTGAGATAATGTGCTGAAAAATTGAATAAGTGCTGATGTCCAAGCTCCAGCCATGTTTGTAGCAGTACCAAGAAATAAATATGCCATTAGCTCCATTAATTTGCCTGATGATCACATAAAGTTCGAAACCTAATGCATTTGTTTTATCTGTAAGAATAATAATAATGCATTAGTGACAATTCAAATTATTTCATGGTTGACTTCAATCCTGAGTCTAACCCCACCAGCAATATTAAAGGTCATACAATTCTTTTTATCAGCAATAACCATGTCTATGGTTCCCTTTATATTGAAGGGTAATATATCCTGTGCAGCATCAAGGATATTTCATGCTGAACTATCAAAGAACTCAACTTCTGTCGGCACATCAATGCTTCTTTGAAGCCATGCAAGGTACTTGCTTTTTTGGTTATTTTCTGTGCAATCATTTGTCCAATGAAAAGGATAAATATTAATATGCCTCATTGTGCTCTCTACATCATAATAATCAACTGATTCCAATTTGAGGCCCAAGTACCTGATGCTGTGAGCCAGTTAGGATAGATTGTTTGTACTCATCAAGTAAATAATATTATTCTGAACTTATAAATGTCCATACAACTATTGGATTTTAATAGCCGTCTCGTTTTCAGCTGCCAGGTTCCAAAACGTCTGGAGAAGTTGTTCATAATTGCCCTTGGAGACTCTCAAAATGGAGACTATACCTCTGGCTCTCCTGCAAAGCTAGAAGTAATTGGGCATCAGACTGGAGAATAATAGTGTCAAGACAGTCTTGTACATACCTTTTTCGATCGTTGTTTTTACTTCCTCCGTCAGTGTTTCTTTGAACGTTGAAATCAGACTTTCAGCTGCCATACAGGAAGCGCAAGTAGCCCAATAAATAGAAAACTAGTTAGCAACTTTATCAAGATAAAATTGTGAAAAGTTACATTACAGCCACATGCTACTCCGTCCACTCTACCCTATGTACACACTACTCTATGTCCCCAACGCCCGAGTCACAAAGTCGTTACGTTAACGCCAACCAAGGCACTTAGCAACGTCTTCTTTTGCTCCAACCAATACCTCTCTTGTTGTTCCAACACATTTCTCTCTCCTGAATATTCTTCAGGTTGTCCACGCCTCAGTTTTCCAACCTCTCCAACTTCGCGTTAGCGTTCTCAAATTCCTGTTTCAACTGAGCGGTATCCATGTTTGTAGGAGCTATACAAACGCCGATCAGTGGCTTAATCAATGACGTATTTCACAATTGTAACTATTGTTCCCTTTGCAGTCTGCCCCATTTTATAATACAGGCCAAGAATTGTGCATAAATAAGGATTTTTCTTTTTTAGCTCCTTTACTCTTGATTGACACAATTTACAAGGTCAAACACCGAAAATCCCGTTAGACCGAAATCCGCACTCTAGCCTATTAAAATTGAAGTTACTATTACTATTACAAAATTTACCCCGATAATCCGAATAATAATAATATTAATATTATTATCGACCTTTGTAAACCGAATGATAAACCGCATATTTCAGTCAATTATAATTATATTTGTCTATAAAAATTGCTTTGCAATATTCTTCTCTTATACCAACAAGAATTCAATCGAACAAAGACAAAACGTTCCAAGTCATAATGTATGATAATGTCATGCATAAAAGAACGATAAAGTAGCAAGAAACCAATCGATATTACATTTTGTTTAGCTAAGGACCTGTATTGGAGACGAGATGAACGCATGTTATTGGAGACTCGTTCAGACGTTTGCTGTTTACCAATGTTTGCGTCAACCGTCGATTGACAGATCAAATAATATTGTACAAACTATAAACAAGCTTTGTTGTCAATGAGAAGATGGCATCTTGAGGTATGCCATGGCAATCCAAGGAAATATTACACTGACTCATAATTGTCAAAATTATTATTGCTTGATAGTGGTTCAATACTACGGATTCAGTCCGTGTCACTTTGCTTTGCCCCATATTGTTTGTTTATTTTATATACAAGTATCCCTAGAAAATAAAATAACATGTATTACATAGTCACACAATATGTCGAGGCAAGCTTTGCTAAATCTAATTGTTTACACACAAGTTGGTCTCTGCGATAACTAATTACAGTCAAGATAAAAAACAAACTATTTAGGTATTCCAGTGTTAACGTACACGAGTCATCAATGTTGAAGACATGTGAACATTTGAGAAAGAATAAATCTGTGCAAATATTACTTTATATGATGCATCAGTAAATAAGACTTAATAATACAATCTTCACATCTACAAATAGACTGCTCTAAAGATTAGCAGGTTTCTATGAATATAGATTAAGAATTTTCTTACAATGTCTATTCCTGTTTGTTTAAAACCCTCTATAATTGTTCATTCCATTCCAACCCGTATTTTGATTAGTATTCATCGTGTTATTGGGCATGCCACCCAGGGGGTTCGATTGTTGGTTTCCAATGCCTTTATTCATCACCCCATCACCAAACCTGTTTTGCTGCTGAAGTTGAAATTGCTGTTGTTGTAATGATTGCATTTGTTGCTGTAATGACTGTTGTCGCATCTGCTGTTGCTGCATTTGTTGTTGCATCATTTGTTGTGCTTGCTGTTGTTGTGATCGTTGTTGTAATTGTTGTTGTTGTAACTGTTGATGGAGAAGTTGCTGTTGTAATAATTGTTGCTGTTGCTGTTGCTGTTGCTGTTGCTGTTGCTGTTGTTGTTGTTGTAGTTGCTGTTGTAATTGCTGCTGTTGTAATTGTTGTTGTTGTAATTGTTGTTGTTGTAATTGCTGTTGTGGTGACTGTTGCTGTTGCGATTGTTGTTGTTGCGACTGTTGCTGCTGAATCGATTGGAAACCACCCATTCCAATTGATGCAGTTTGCTGCTGTTGAGGTTGCTGTTGCGCGAATCCAACCATCCCTATCGTGTTATTAGACTGTTGTTGTGGTTGCTGACCAAATCCAAATGCTGAACTATTTGGTGTAAATAATGACTGGGAGTTCACGTAGTTCGACTGATTGTTCAAATTCATACCAACTGGTAACGACTGCTGCCGTTGCAGATTGTTGTTCGTGCCAAACACATTAGCGTGTAGACCGGTTGGCTAGTAAAAAATTCCACTAACATTAGTAAATTTGTCGAATATAAACCATTTATCATAACTATCGCCAAAAAGTAAGATAATATTAGATACACACATTTGTATTTCCTCCCGTGTTCACTGAACCACTAAAGTTATTTGGCTGTGCTTGCATGAATTGCCCAAATTGGTTCTGTTGCTGATTAATGCCATTCGTGCCGCTCGCCGAAAAATTGGTAGTCCCTTGCTGGAAGCCAGTTTGACTAGTCTGATTTGGTAACTGATTAAGACCACTCGTTGAGCCACTCATTGACCGATCCAATCCGCTAAACCCACCAACGCCGTTATTTGTATTACTCGGTTGCGGACTGTTGTATAGAGAAAGAATCGCAGATTTATCAATTCTGTTATTAGTTTGTGGCTGTTGGAATTGTGACTGTAGTTGGAGTTGCTGTGTGCGCTGTTGCTGCTGCTGTTGAGCAGCCAATGCTAAGAAAACGTCAATTAACCATATTAGCTCTCAAACGAAGTAAAACGGTGGAAATACCCAAGTTGACATACTAACCAAAAGCCTGATTTACTTGCGAACCGTTTAATGACGAATATGCATTCGGTGAATATGTGTTGACATCGGTGAATTGGGTTTTTTGTGTAGGCATTAGTTCAGATGGAGACATGTCCAAAATAGAAGATGATTGCGATAGCGGTAACTTGTGTTGCTTTCGCTGTTGTTCTTGCTGAAGTGACCCAACGGCTTGACTAGATGCTGAAGCTGGTTGTTCTATAGTACGCTTTGCTGTTGAACGTTCTTCAACCAACAAGGCTGCGGCTACTTCGACGTTGCCTCCTGTACGGCGTAAAGCGTCTCTATTCTTTGCTTCGTCATGAAAACCCATGTTCCATAGTTGTATTGCTTTATCGTCATCCGAAGCTGATGCTGTTCGTCCATGCGCGGAAGATACAGTGTTACTCGGTAACCGACATAATATTTCTGTTGCGGCTTTGACATCTCCATTGGTAGTGGCCAATACCTCGCGATTACGGGCATCATCCGTGAAGCCCATTTCTCTTAATTGCCGTAAAGCAGTATCATAACTATTACTACGTGTGACAATTCCATCTGTTTCTTTCCTTGATAAAGAAGCCGCCGAATTGGAGACGCCGGCATAGGACGAAGATGAACCTGACATTGGAGCTGAACGTGGTCTCGCTTTAGTTAACTATGAAAAAAGTTGATGACATATTATGAGACGACAGTGTTATTTTAAACAGTGCAAAGCAAATTATAAGAGTGCTACTCACGTTATCTTCACGAAAGGCGCCTTTCTCGTATTTCTTGCGTATGTACTTCTCCATTTCTCTGATAGGTTAGGAGTGCATATAAATATAAATATAAGTCCATATTATCCATCTTCAAAACGAATTGGGACATTTAAAATGTACTTACATGTCACTGGCGTTGACGGGAATAGGATGAAATTCGGGGTGAGGATTCCAGAGAGAATTTGCCTTAAGATTGCCCCACTGCCGCATGTTCTGATGGAAATAATCGAATTGTATAAAAGGAAAGTCTGATAGCGGCTAACATAATAGATTACACTCACATCCATTTGCTCTGCCGTCCATAAATCAAGCATTATTGATTTGACTTTTGAAATGTGTGTACCAAGTTTACGATGTATTCCAGCGCATCGCATACAGATGAATACTCCGAGATTATGCGAGGTCCAACGTGGAGCTGCAGCAAACGCATTAGAAAAAAAAGTTAAATCTTAGAGGCATTTGTATATAGGCTCCTGATTATAACTCATGACTCGAGTATTAACAGACTTGTTTCAAACCTTTGGCACCACAGTCGGCACAAACATCGTTGCCCGGTTGCCTTGCCATGTCAAGCAAGATCCGTGCATTTTTTTCGTTCATAACCTTCTTTGCTCTGTCTAGTGACATGTTTAGCGACTGCCAAGAGAAGCTGTACAATTCAGAACCTTTATTCTTTATTATTGCGGAAGAAAATTCAGAGAGCTTAAACTGGGCAATTTTGTACGTGGTATTGTGGCTTCGAAAAGGCTAATTAAACGTCACTTACTGATAGGCCAGAATTACAAGCCACAGTTTGTTTGACAGGTTCCAATCTTGGTTTTCGTGCTAATGTCATTAAAACTACGTACAAAAAATTGCAATGATTTGCTTATTATTATTATCGCCTTCTCCATGGCTTGTTTTCAACGACAGAATTCTCTGCAAATTCTTTGTTACGAGGCTTAACCAATGCTATGTGAAAAACATAATTCGAAGGGAAACGCGTCCTTTTTGTTGTCTGAATGCTATGCGATAGATGCAACGGTTCTATAAAGAACAAACTAAAAGACTTGTATTATCAGCACAGTTGAGATTCAATCATACAATGAACGACCTCTCTCTAAAATAGGCAAGGCTTTATCCATGGGTAATTAATATTAATTACCGTGGGAGAAATTTGCCTGTCCTATACCCCTTTTGTTAATTTTCTCTTCCCAAGAAGTTTCATTTATTCTTCTTAGCCTCATCCTTTCTCCAAACACTCTGTACTTATCCGCTCTTTTCTTTCTAATTATAATATTCCCTCTTAATCCGCGTTAGAAAACAAGATCATGACAAAGATGCTGATTTTTAACCAGTGTGCGTGTATGTGTTCACATCTGTATTGGGGAAATACGCCGATATATAGCGCTCATACCAGAGGCAGAATTTATTTGACAGGTGATAATTGTCACGCGCACGTGATTCCAAAACGCGAAGGCATTTTGATTTCTGTAGAGCTGGCTGTAATAATTTTAATTAATAGAAAATTTAGGATGGATTTTACGATGTTATAATCGGAATTAATGCAGTAATAGAATTAATATCAATTTTGTTTAACCCTCTAATATATTTACAAAGACAACGGGACGTATCAAAAAAATTCGAATTGCTTGGAATTGCAAGTGTCTACCCATGAACTTGATTTGTGACCGCGATCCATCATATAGTCTGTGTTTGCATGTTTCATGCGCGTAGGCTCCATATAAGATTGCATGTT